AGGGGACATAGCTTTAAATTGAGGGGTGATAGATATAGGACAGATGTCAGAGGTAGGTTCTTTACTCAGAGAGTAGTAAGGGCGTGGAATGCCCTGCCTGCAAAAGTAGTAGACTCGCCCACTTTAAGGGCATTTAAATGGTCATTGGATAAACATATGGATGATAATGGAATAGTTTAGGTTAGATGGGCTTCAGATTGGTTTCACAGGTCGGCGCAACATCGAGGGCCGAAGGGCCTGTACTGCGCTGTAATGTTCTATGTTCTATGTTCTATGACATACCCATAATGGAGAGGCCTGCTACCATCATTGAAGTTTGGGGTACATCCCCGAAGACTGTAATATCTCTGTCACATCAGTCTGAGAGTTGGGTCTATTCAGCCCTTCCATGGGGAAGCTCTGGGTTCATCCCCAACCTGCATTCTTGTGTCTCTGGTTCGGGCATTCTCTTGCGAATTGTCCTTCCTAGCCACAGTTTTAACACTTGGGCGCCCAGCTTTGAGTCTTTCCTGTTTCTGAGACGGTTCTCTACCTCTGCCTTTACCTCTTGCCACTTTTGGGTAGGCTGGAGGGAGTGCATTCTGAATGGGTCTTCCCCCTTCATTTCTCCAGGTTTATGCCTGATCTTTAACAGACATCATCCTTACCCCTGAGGTTTTGGGAAATTTTGTTGTTTCCTTTTCCCATGCTCTAATCATCTTCCTGATTACCCAGGCCTCTGTGTGCTTGTCATCAGTGGGATCAAACTCCTCTAATACCCTCTTTGACTCCTCAGACACCAGCGTTCTCAGCCATCCATTCATAGCTTTTAAATCATTACATTATTGCTTCCATCCTTCCACCTCAGCTCTAGCTGTTTGGACTTCTCCCTCTTGCTTACTCCTTTCCCGAACCAGCTTCTCACACTGAATCAAGTACCGGATCATATACACCACATCCGCACTCCTCTGTCCTTGCAGATCGATTACCTTTTCAATAAGGTGGGCTACCTCCTCACAAAGCCTCTTATTCTCTTCCTCCAGTCTTTCCCTCTTTACCATCTCTAATTTGATTTGCTGTCAGCACTCTATCCATTCCTCCATTAAACAGCCAATCACTACAACCTTCTGTACTGTTTTAAACTTCTTGTCCGAAATTTTTATTTGGGCAACCTGTCAAAGGGCTTCCCCAGTGGACTTTCCCTTGTCCCTAGTGTGACCTACATATTTCCCGTATTGCGGCCACTTCCCTATTATGTACTTCTGGAGGACCCCCGTCCAATCAGGGCAGTCCATTCCCTCCTGATTCAGCATTGTATACTAATGATTAACCCCAAGCTCCCATCCAGACTGACTCAAGTCTGGGTGGGAGGGAAGACAGACAGACAGGTCAAGGAGGCAGGGATGAGGCTAGTAGGTAGGAAGTGGGGGAATAGTCTCAAATTGGACTTCATAAGTTTCAAAATCTCCCCACCCCCGACCTCATCCCAAGACCAGCCCAGCTCATCCTCGCCTCCTTGATCTGTCCGTCTTTTCTCCCACCTATCCGCTCCTCCCACCTCACTGACCAAGGACCCCCACCCCCACTTCCTACCTACTAGCCTCATCCCCCGCCTCCTTGACCCGTCCATTGTCCCTCCCTCCCAACTGACCAAGCCCCATCCCAACTCCCTACCTATACTCTCCTTTACTGGCTCCATCCCCGCCTCCTTGACCTGTCTGTCTTCTCTCCACCTATCTGCTCCTTTATCCACCTTCCATCATCACCTCCCCCTCTCTCTATTTATTTCAGAGTCCCCTTCTTCTCCCCCATTTCTGAAGAAGGATCCAGATGTAGTGCTAATGTAGTGCCATTACTTAAGAAAGGTGGTAAAGAGAAACCAGGAAACTATAGACTGGTAAGCCTGATGTCAATGGTGTGTAAGTTATTGGAGAGGATTCTGAGGGACAGGATCTATATGTATTTGGAAAGGCAAACACTGATTAGGGATCGTCAACATGGCTTTGGAAAATGTTGGCATATTGTGGCACAAATCTAGCCCCATGGCTGTTCTATGTGTCTGGATGAAGAACTGGTTGTCGAAGATGAAGACATTGTGGTTGAGGATGAAGTGGATGAGTTGTCAGATGATGCCTGGAAATTGGCAGTTGTTGATATTGAGTGCAGAGACTGCAGTGATGCCGTTGTAAGGGATGCTGGCGTAGAGTGTCGAAACGTCCATTGTCATGAGAAATGTTCCTGGTTCGACTGGTCTGTGGGTGCTGAGTTTCTGTAAGAAATCTGTAGTGTTGCGACAGAAGCTGGGGTTCCCTGTACGATGGGTTTCAAGATGTCTTTGACATAGCCGGAGAGGTTCTCTCACAGGGTCCCATTGCCTGATATGATGGGATGTCCAGGTGTGTTGGCTTTGCGTATCTTTGGAAGTCAGTAGAAGTCCCCTATGTGAGAAATACATGGGATAAGAGTGCGTAAGGTACTCTGAAGGACTGGATCAAAAGTCTTGATCAGTCTGAGTTGACAAATGTGTTCTTTGATCGGATTGGCAGGTAATTGTCTGTATGCTTCCTTGCAGTAGTCCATTCTATTCTGTATGACAATGGCTCCTCCTGTGCCTGCTGATTTGATGACAATGTTGCAATTGGTCTTGAGAGCATGGATAGCATTGCATTGTCCTTGTGCGGCATTTTGCCCTGCCTTGAGTCCAGCTGATGAATCTGGCATTCATGCATTCCCTGATGGTATGAGCATACACGTCAAGCCCAGGGCAACAGCCCTCTGGAGGGGTCCAATTGGACTCCTTTGGCTGCTCCACCACAGATTTCTCTGTCAACTGTTTTGGCTCATCGGTTGTCTCATTGGACTCGCTGACATCTTGGAAGAATTCCCAAAGTCTCATTCATCTGATGAATTCCTCTGTCTGCTGTGAGACCAATGGTGGTGCGGCAGAAATTGAACCTTGGCTGAAAACTTTGATCTCGTCCGGTTGAAAAGTGTGGCCAGATAAGTTGATGGATTTTCCAGTGGTGGTACCGTTTTCAAATGTGGTATCAAAATTGGTTGTATAGTGGACAGTGAAGATGATTATCTCAGAGTACAACTGGACCTAGATCAGATGGTTTGATAGGCCAAGAAGACGAAGATGGAATTTAATTTACATAATGGTCAGGGGTAGCATTTCGGTAAGGCAAATCAGGGCAGGACTTATACACTTAATAGTAGGATCCTTGGGAATGTTGCCAAACAAAGATCTTGGTTGCAGTTCCACAGTTCCTTGAAAGTGGAGTCGCAGGTAGTGAAGAAGCTATTTGGTGCACTTGTCTTTATTGATTAGTACATTGAGTATTGGAGTTGGGACATTATGTTGCGGCTGTGCAGGACATTGGTTAGGCCACTTTTGGAATACTGTGTTCAGTTCTGGTCTCCCTGTTATAGGATAGATGTTAAATTTGAAAGGGTGCAGAAAAGATTTGCAAAGATGTTGCCAGGGTTGGAGGCTGGGGCTATTTTCCCTGGAGCATCAGAGGCTGAGGGTTGACCTTATAGACGTAAATAAAAGCATGAGGGGTATGGATACGGTGAATAGCCAAGGTATTTTTCTCAGGGTAGGCGAGTCTAAAACTAGTCAGCATGGGTTTAAGGTGAGAGGGAAAGGTTTTTTTAAACTGGGCCAGGGCAACATTTTCAGACAATGGTGCTTGTACGGAATGAGGTGCCAGAGGAAGTGGTGGAGGTTGGTACAGTTACAACATTTAAAAGGCATCTAGATGGACACATGAATAGGAAGGATTTAGAAGGATATGGGCCAAATTCTGGCAAATGGGACTAGATTAATTTAGGATATCCAGTCCGCATGGACGAGTTGGACTGAAGAGTCTGTACAACTCTATAATTAAAAGTAACTAATTCTGAAAAAAAATGTAGGCTTCAAAGTAGAAAAACACTGAACTCTGGCGCACATTTTATAACAATGAGGGATATGTTTCCAATGAAGAGACATTGCACTTAAAACATTAACTTTGCTTCTTTCTCCACAATACTGCTGAGTTTCTCCAACACACATTTGTTGGTGTTAGCAAACAGCCTTTTTAAAAAATCATTAATTCATTCACTCAATGAATGTGGGCACCTGAGGCTAGACAACCAATAATTGCCCATCCTAGTTGCTTTTGAGAAGGTGATGGTGAGCTGCTTTCTTGAATCATTGCAGTCCACATGGTGTAGGTAGACCCACAATACTCATAGGGATTGAGTTCCAGGATTTTGACCCAGTGACCATGAAGGACCATCTGTTTTTAATATTTCCAGTCCACTGTCATTGAATTTATAAAAATTCTTTTTTCTTCTTTCTTTCTCCGAATACAGGGGTCTGTTTACAGAATCACGAGAATGAAGGCTTTCCATCACCAGTTGTAATCCTCCCATTCATGAAACATGGGGATCTCCACAGCTTCCTCTTGTATTCTCGCCTGGGAGAGAGCCCTGTGGTAAGTTCCAGCCATAATCTCAAGAATCTTGAAGGCATCCACTCTTGGTAAACGAACATTGATGTTGGTCGGTTTGTTGAGAGATCACCCAGTTCTACCTGCTCCGTTGATAGGGGTGACTATATCTTCAAAAGTTAAACTGAGACACACTGAATGTGGTATTCATTGTTGTTTAACATATTGGATATTCAATGGTAAGGGTCCGGCAGAGGGGCATTATAAAAGAAATTGTGATGGCATCTACTAGGGTGTTTCAGCTTGGGTTCTAGAATATGGGGAGATGTTCACTGACCATGTTCAGTACCTTTAGTGACTCCACAGATCCTGAAGCAATCTATGCCAAATGCAGCAAGACTTGGATAATATCCAGGCTTCGGCTGAAAAATGGCAAGTGGCATTTGTACCACACAAATGCCAGGCAGTGACCATCTTCAATAACAGACAATCTAACCATCACCCATTGATGGTTTACATTGACAATAGTGAATCCCCTGTGATCAACATCTTGTAGGTAGTCATTGACCAGAAATTGAACTAGATTAGCCATGCACAAACTGTGGCTACAAGAGCATGTCAAGGCTAGGAATCCTGCATCAAGTAAACTCCAGCAACACTCAAGAAGCTTCACATTATCCAGGACAAAGCAGCCTTCTTGATTGGCATTATACTCATGCACATTCAGTCCCTCCATCACCTGACATTCAAAAGCACAAGTTCTATCTGTAAGACAACTGCAGAAATTCACCAATACTCCTTAGGCAATAACTTCAAGTCCATGACCTTCACATGTGGAAAGACAAAGGCAGCCGATACAAGGGAGAACTACCAAAATTCCCCTTAATTCGATTAACATTTCAAGTTGGAAATCTATCTCCATTCCTTCGGTGGCGCTGCATCAAAATCCTGGAATTTGTACCTCTGTGTGCAGACACATGCACGTGTTGTATTCTGGATGCAGTTCGATTGGTCAAAGCACTCGGTTTGAAACTAAAGTCTTTATTCATACACTATAAAATACAGAAAAAATAAAAATAAAGAAAAGAATTGGTTTAACTGTAACTCTACTGAAATGCTTAACAAAATAATATGTATATTAAATACACTCATTAATTGTTCCAATATAGTAACATCCCATAATCATACCTTTGGCAAAGGCAAATTCAGTAAACAGCTGAATTGTCTCACATGCAATTCCAGCAGCAGGAAGAGAACCCCAGCTTTCATTTGTAACATAGAAAGGAATGTGAGCATCCACATCCAGCTTCAAGACCTCACCAACTGCAGAAAGCTAAAACTAGAAATCCTGGTTCTGGGGGAGCTTGACCCCCACCCATTCAGGCTGCTTGTATTGTTCCAATTTTTTTAAATGCCCAAGACCTCATAACTTTAAACAGCTTTGAGTGGACTGCTCGCCACCTCTGTCTCAACCTTTTTTATTAAAAACAAGAGGCAAAATACATCACTTAAAGCCATGGTATCATCACAATCACATGAGTGAATAAACAAAAGTACAGCAAGCAGGCAGCCATATGTCAGAGTCTTAGGGGAGCTGTCCTCACTAAAGTCCATGCTGGTGCCTGTCAGTGAGGAGGTCGTAGTATATTAAGTCAAAGGCAGCTTCCCACACCTGTCAAGAGAATTTGCCTTGGTCAGGCATCCAGTGAGTGTTCTTTGTTCAGGGTAGGTTTTCCTACCATCTGGCATGTTTCACAAGAATTGTACTGTATCTTTATGAAGTCTTGGCCATATAAAATACCTTGTTTATTAATGCCTGTGTTTTCCGTGTTCCTTTGTACCCCGCCATAAGAACTTCATATGCTAACCGTAACATCTCTTCCGAGTATCTTGTCGCTACCACTATTTGATGAACAAGTATCCTTTCTTTATCCATAGATCCGAGAGGATATCTCCACTTTCTCATCAAAATTCCATTTTTAGTCTAATAACATTCTGGAACTCCTTCAGCCTCAGTGTCCGTGTGAGCTGTCTGTGCCAACTTACTTAACCCTGGATCTGCTTCCTATGTCTCAATAAATGAAAACATGACAAACACCTCATTTGATCTATCCAATTCTTATAGTTAGCCTAAAATATGCTTGTGATATCACTGATGATGGACTTAATTTATCCATTGCTGTAGTCACAACACAATGGAAAAGTCTCGAACATTTCCTTCAACTGTTCCATTTCTATAGCTTCAACTGGACTTTCCATGATTATAGATGAAGCTATACTTTTACTTCTGCCAAATCATTCCTTAGCAATAAACAAACTTCATCCATAGCTAATTTCTTAACCACCCAGCTACCACTAGTCCAGACAACTAGTCACACTTCAACTGGACCTTGTACAATTAAACTGGGATTTACTCTTTAATTATCCCATTTAATATATCTTGACTTTCATTGAACTCTCAGAAGGGAAAACTATATCCTTCTCCAGCAAGAAAATTTGAGTAGTCCCTATATCTCTTCGATTGGCTTAGATTCTTCCTTTGAAGTAAAAGAGGGTATCTTCCATCAGGTAATAATGCTTTATACGTTACATCTATCCTATGTACCTTTTTAGTTTCAGTTAAAGTTACAATCTGATGTATGCCTTTTCCTCCTGAGTTTCCTTTTCAGACTCATGGTCATAGATACCAATAAGTCCTATGGATTTCCCTTTCAACTTCCAGCATCTGGAATGAATGTGTCCCTTTTTATAATTAGAACACCTTGGTTTCTGATTTTCACCTTACCCACAGTACTTTGCTTTCTGATTTATGGAGGAAACCTTGGGTACTTGCCTTCCTTTCACTTCCCCGTTTCCTACCTTTTTTGAATCTGAGGGTGATGGAATAAAATTTATTTTTATGGTTTATTGATATTATTGCTGCTGTCGAGCAGTTGCAACCCTTGATCCTCACCATGGGTTCTTATTGCAGAAAGTAGTGAATTTTTAGATTCCTCGAAGAGAATAACCTCTCTAATTGTTTCATAGATGATTTCACCTTCATTACTCTTATCCACCCATCAAAATTACTTTGCTTAACCCTTCAATGTAGGTTTGCCCTAGCTGCTTCCCTAAATTTAGGAACCTTTGCCTATATGCGTCAAGCACCAACTCTTAAGCAGCCAACACAGTTTCCGGCATTTATATCTAATGCTGAGAAACCGCCTCTGACAGTGAATTTCCTGTACTTTATCTATCGCCCTTACACTGGATGAGCAATTCCCACTCCTCTTAACTTTCCTGCTCCTCTGATGCTGCTTGGCCTGCTGTGTTCATCCAGCTCTACACCTTGTTATCCCACTCCTCTTTTGTCCAGTTAAACTGTTGAACCATTTCCTCAAATGACATGTCTCCATATCCCTGTCAAATTTTGGTTGGACCTGTGAAAATTTGAACAAATCCTTGAACTTTGAATTATGGCTCAGATTCTCCCTACCAAACTCAGCTTCTGATGTCTATTCTTTCAATTGTGCAATTTTTAGCTTCTCATCACGTTCTCTTACTTGTCTTTCCCTTTGCTCTTTGAATTATAATTTTCACACGGTGGCTCAATGGTTAGCACTGCTGCCTCACAGCTCCAGGGACCTGGGTTTGTTTCCACCCTTGGGCAACTGTCTGTGTGGAATTTGCATATTTTCCCCGTGTATGCGTGGGTTCCCTCTGGGTGCTCCAGTTTCCTCCCACAGCCCAAAGATGTCCAAGTTAGGTGGATTGGCTAGGCTAAATTGCCAGGGGTGTCTAAATTAGATCTGTTAACAATGGAAAATATTGGGTGGGGGCATGGGTCTGTGTGTGATGCCCTTTGGAGGGTCAGTGTGGACTTGTTGGGCCCAATGGCCTGTTTCCACACTGTAGGGACTCTGTTTTGGTCTTCACATTTCAATTTCCTGCTTTCTTAATCCTAACACTCTTTACTTATCGTTTTCTGCCATCTCTGGTTTCCTCATGTTCCAACCATTTCAACTGTAATTGAATTACACCCAATCCTGACACTTCGCTACCTAAATTGCTTGACAACTTTTGTACTTCCTTTTAAATCCAAGAGTTGTGCCAGTGCTTCAATTATCTCTAACTTTTTAGCTCTGTCAGGCAATGCTACCCACCACTTTACCCAACAAATCAATCATCCTTGACTTTGCTGTTTCCAGTGCTATGCCTTAAGCCCCAGTGCCCGATGATAACCACCCCAGGTTATTGAGAAGCAAAAGAGGAGATTTCTGGGCCCTTGACCAAGATCTTCATATCTTTGCGAGCCACTAGAGAAGTCCCTGGAGGACTGACAAGTAGCTAATGTTGTTCCTGTGTTCAAGAAGGGAAATAGGGATAATCTAGGAAAGTATAGGCTGATGAGTCTCACATTGATGGTTGGGAAGATATTAGAGATTATTAGGGACAAATTTATGCACATTTGGAAAAGCCTACCTTAATTAGGAACAATCAGCATGGCTTTGTGCAGAGCAGGTCATGTCTTACTAACTTGATTGAATTTTTTTGAGGAGGTGACAAAGGTAATCGATGAGGGTAGAGCAGTGGATGTTGTCTACATGGATTTTAGGAGCTGCACTCTGAAAGTTTGTGATTTCAAAAACACATTGGACTATAACCTGGTGTCATGTGACTTCTGACCTTGTTCACAGTTCAACACCAGCACCTCCACATCATGGCTACATGGATTTTACTGAGGCTTTTGACAAGATCGCTCATGGCCAGCTCATCCAGAAGATTAAGATGCATGGTGTCCACAGTAACTTGGCCATGTGGATTCAGAATTGGGTTTCCCATAGAAAGCAGAGGGTAATGGTGCAAAGATGTTTTTCTGGCCTGAGGTCCATTACCAATGGTGTTCTGCAGGTATCTGCACTAGGATCTCTGCTGTTTGTGACGTATTTAAATGTCTTGGATGAAAATGTAGATCAGTTTGTTAGTGAGTTTGCAGATGATACAAAGATTGGTGGAGTTGTGGATAGTGCAGAAGATTATCAGAAGATACAGTGGGATATAGATCAATTGCAAATATGGGCAGACAAATGGCAGATGGAGTTTAATCCGGGTAAGTGTGAGGTCCTGCATTTTGAGACGTCAAATGTTAGGGAAAAGTATACAGTTAATGGCAGGACCCTGAAGAGCATTGATGTACAGAAGGATCTTGGGGCTCAAGTTCATCGCTCCATGAAAGTAGCTACGCCAGCAGATAGGGTGGTAAAGGCAGCATATAGCATGCTTGCTTTGATGTTGCAGCTTTAAAAGACTTTGGTTAGGCCACACTTAGAGTATTGCATTCACTTCTAGTTGCCATATTACAGTGAGGATTTGGAGAGGATACAGAAGGGATTTACGAGGATGCTGCCTGGATTAGAGAGTATGAGCTATCAGGAAAGGCTAGAAAAACTTGGGTAGGTTTCTCTGTAATGGCAGAGGATGAGGGGGGACTTGAAAGAAGTCTATAAAATTGAGATTCAAAGATAGGGTTCACGGTGGTGGTGGAGGCAGATATGATAAGGGCATTTAAAGGACTTTCGGATAAGCACATGAATAAGCAAGGAATGGACAGGTATGGACCAAGGGTAGGCAGAAGGGATTAGTTACGTTTGGTGTCATATTCGGCACAACATTGTGGGCTGATTGGGTCCATTCCTGTGCTGTACAGTTCTGTGTTCTAAGTGCAGTACAAAATCCAATATTTTTCTTCACCTGTATTATGTATCAAATCACACCCAAGTCCTCCTCATCTTTGTTTCCAATCCAAATCAAATACAAATCCTGGACATGAGCCCCTGAGTTAGCATGCCATAAATCCAGCCCCTTTATTCCCCAAGTCCTATTTTTAAAAAAAATTATGCACAGTAATCAATTTACCTAACTTTCAGACCAAGGCTGATAGAAAGCATGAACTGTTTCTTTCTATGCTGAACAAGGATTATTTTTATAAGTAATAAGACTATAAGCAAATAGGTATAGACCATTGGCACATAACACTACGAACTAAAACTCTAACCTCCTTATATGCACACATAGACAAACAAATAGTGATTAAAGATCACTGACAGAGGTTGAAAAATTGGAAAGTTAGGTCATTGCTCCCTGGGGAAGAAATGATCTTTATTCAACTAGTCAGGCCCTTAGTGATCAGTTGCTTTTCTCTGGAAGCTTCTAATTACTTTGTAAAAAGTACAGAATGAGGTTGGAAAATGTCTCTAATTTATCAATTCAAAAGGCATAACTCGGAGCAACTGCTGCAGGAAAAGTAGCTTATTTTCTTTAAGCTTAAAACTGAATTGTTTTTACTGCAGACAGCAGGCAGCCTCTGCTGAGTAGAACAACACACCCTTCAGAGTCTTTCTCTCTCTCTGTGTGTCTGTCTCTACATGTTTTCAGTTATCTGAGAACCTATCAACTTCACTTGTGAACAACTCCTCAGCTCCTGATTGTTTGTACATTACAGGAACTCACAACCAGAAAAACAAACAGGGACAGCACAGTGACACAGTGGTTAGCACTGCTGCCTCACAGCACCAAGGACCTGGGTTTGATTCCACGCTTAGGCGACTGTCTGTGGGGAGTTTGCACATTCTCCCCACATGTGTGTGGATGTGTCGAACAAGTGGTCAGAATGTTCCAGCCCTCTCACCTCAACTTTCTAATCAGAGTTAGATCCACCATGTTAAGGAGCCAGAAAGATTTTTCTGATATTTCCCTTTCCTACTCCTGGGATCCCAAGGTCCAAGTTACCTAATCCTCCCTGAGTATTCTGCCTAACTCAGCAATAAAAGGAACAAATAGAGAGGCACTTCCTGTTCTCTGTCAGGTGTCTTACATAACAAAAGTGATGATGCTTCATTAGTTATAAAATGCTTTGGCATATCCAGACACGCTCCTCTATACATGGCTTTAGCCCTTTCTCCATCTCATACGTTTGTGAATTGTTGATTCTCTCTCTTCTAGTACCTCCCGATGCAGACACTGGTAAAATTCATGACTGACATTGCTCGGGGCATGGAATATCTCAGCAACAAGAACTTCATCCACAGGGACCTGGCTGCACGCAACTGCATGTGAGTCCATTGTGATTTGTCTAGCCTTGTCACCTTCTCTGCTATCATGTATCTCACCTGATCTGTCATTCTCTCCATCAGGGTTTCACAGGTACTAACTGTTTGATTCCAAGAGCACCATGTCCAAACAGACCTGTAACCTGGTGTCCATGTTAATTCCATCTGATTCACTGGATGGATAACATGGCTTATTTTCCCTGTTTTAAACCAGTAACATGGAAAACATAGAACAATACAGCACAGGAACAAGCCATTCAACCAACTATGTCTGTGCTGACCGTGATGTCATCCCAAACTGATCCTATCTGCCTGCACATGGCCCTCTATTCCCTGTCTGTTCATGTCTGTCTAAATGCTCTTAAACTTTGCTAATGTATCTGCTTCTACCACCTCCTTTGGCAACACACTCCAGGTACCTACGCTCCGCTGTGTAAATAAAAACTTTCCTTGCACCTCTCCTTTAAACTTTTCCTCCTCTCACCTTAAACCTATGCTCCCTAATAGACATTTGTACCCTGGGAAAAAGATTCCAACTGTCCACCCTATCCATGTCAAATATAATTTTAAATACTTTTAACAGGTCACCCTTCAGCCTTCGGTACTCTAGCAAAAGCAATCCAAGTTTGTCCAATCTCTCCTTGTATCTAATTCACTCCAATCCAGGCAACATCCAGTAAACCTCTTTTGTACCCTCTCCAAAACCTCTTCATCCTTCCTTTATTGTGTGGAGAGAAGAGCTGCACACGATACTCCAAATAGAAACATGGAAACGTAGAAGATAGGAGCAGGAGGAGGCCATTCAGCCCTTCAAGCCTGCTCTACCATTCTTCACTATCATGGCTGATCATCCAACTCAGGAGCCTAATCCTGCTTTCTCCATATAACCTTTGATCCCATTTGCCCCAAGTACTATATCTAGTTATCTCTTGAATAAGTCTCTTTGAGATTTTCCCTCATTCATCTGAAAACAATCCCAACCTAGTCAATCTCTCCTTATACATCAGACCTGCCATCCCTAAAATCAGCCTGGTAAACCTTCGCTGTACTTCCTTGAGAGCAAGTGCATCCTTCCTCAAAGGAGACCAAAACTGCACACCATATTCTAGGTGTGGCCTCACCAAGGCCCTGTATAACTGCAACAACACATCCCTCCTCCTGTACTTGCAACCTCTCGCAAAGAAGGCCAATATATCATTTGCATTCTTTACTGCCTGCTGCACCTGCATGCTTACCTTCAGTGACTGGTGCACAAGGACACCCAGGTCCCGCTGCATACTGCTCTCTCCCAATTTACAGCCATTCAAGTAGTAATCTGCCACCTTGTTTTTGCTTCCGAAGTGAATAACCTCACTTTTATTCAAATTATACTGCATCTTTAGAAATTGAATAGGAACTGGCTGAGGAGTAAGAACAGAAGGTGGCACGGTGGCTCAGTGGTTAGCTCTGCTGCCTCACAGCACCAGAGACCCTGGTTTGATCCCACCATCAGGCGACTGTTTGTTTGTGTCGAGTTTACACATTCTCTCTCTGTCTGCGTGGCTCTCCTCAAGGTGCTCTGGTTTCCTCCTACAGTCCAAGTATATGCAGGTTAAGTGGACTGGCCACGTTAAATTGCCCATAGTGTCCAGGGATGTGCAGGTTAGGTGCATAGCCATGGGAGGTGCGGGGTTACGGGGGCAGGGTGGGGGTTCGGACCTGGGTGGGATGCTCTTCAGACATCTCGTGTGGACTCAATGGGCTGAATGGCCTGCTTCCAAACTGTAAGGATTCTATCCTGAGATATTTTGCATCAGTCTTTATGGTGGAAGATACTTCAAACACCCCATTAATAGTAACAAATACATGGGAGGAATTAAGTACCATCAGTATAAGAATACTAATGAGGCTAAAGACTTGGTAAATCCATGGCTCCTGATGGCTTGCATCTTAGGATCCTAAAAGGTGTAGCGACAGAGATAGTGGAGGCATTGTTGTAATTTTGTATTCTGGAGGATTGGAAAACTGCCAATATAACACCCCAAATCAAAAGAGAGGGAGGCAAAAAACCGATTACTTAAGGTTAGATGTGGAGGTGCTGGTGTTGGACTGGGTGAACCAGGTCAAAGATCAATGACACCAGGTTATAGTCCAACGGTTTATTTGAAGACACAAGCTTTTGGAGTCTCACTCCTCCTTCAGGTGTCAGTGAGAGGTGGCATCAGATATAGAAATTATAAGCAAAGATCAAAGTCACAGAACTGATGCGATTATATTGAACAAACCTAAGATGGCTGTTAAATCTTTAATCAGTTAGAAAGGATTAATATGCAAATCCCAGAATTTCTTCCAAGTCACTGCCCTGAGATAACTAGTAGTTTTATCAGTATACCAAGAGGTGACATCTCAGGTCAGACAACGCATTTTAGGTGTTAGGCCTTGTTATTTTTTTTCTCTCTATTCATTTGTGGGATGTGGGTGTCGCTGGCTGGCCAGCATTTCTTGCCCATCCTTACTTGCCCTTGAGAAGGTGGTGGTGAGCTGCCTTCTTGAACTGCTGCAGTCCTCCTGCTGTGGGTTTAACCACAATGCTAGTAGGGAGGGAATTCCAGGATTTTAACCCAGCGACAGTGAAGGAACGACGATATATTTCCAAGTCAGGGTGGTGAGTGGCTTGGAGGGGAACTTGGAGGTGGTGGTGTTCCCATATGTCTGATGCCCTTGTCTTTCTAAATGGAAGTGGTCGTGGGTTTGGAAGGTGCTGTCTGAGGATCTTTGGTGAATTTCTGCAGTGCATCTTGTAGATTGTACACACTACTGCTACTGAACGCCGGTTGTGGAGGGAGTGAATGCTTGTAGATGTAGTGCCAATCAAGTGGGTTGCTTTGTCCTGGATGGTGTCAAGCTTCTTGAGTTTGTTGGGGCTGCACTCATCCAGGCAAGTGGGAGTATTCCATCACATTCCTGACTTGTGCCTTGTAGATGGTGGACAGGCTTTGGGGATTCAGGAGGTGCAACACCACAGTATCCCTAGCTTCTGACCTTCTCTTGTAGCCACTCTGTTTATGTGGTGATTCCAGTTGAGTTTCTGGTCAATGATAACACCCAGGATGTTGATCGTGGGGGATTCAGTGATGGTAACACCATTGAATGTCAAAGGATGGTGGTTAGATTGTCTCTTATTGGTGATGATCATAGCCTGGCATTTGTGTGGCATGAATGTCACTGACCACTTGTCAGCCCAAGCCAGGATATTGTCCAGATCTTGTTGCATTTGAACATGCATCAGTATCTGAGGAGTCATGAATGGTGCTGAACATTGTGCAATCATCGGCGTACATGCCCACTTCTGACCTTATGATGGAGGGAAGGTCATTGATGAAGCAGCTGAAGATGGACCTAGGACACTACCCTGAGGAACTCCTGCAGGGATGTCCTGGAGCTGAGATGATTGACCTCCAACAACCATGACCATCTTCCTACGTGTCAGGTATGACTCCAACCATCGGAGAGTTTGCCCCCTGATACCCATTGATTCCAGTTTTGCGAGGGCTCCTTGATGCCACACTCGGTCGAATGCAGCCTTGATATCAAGGGCTATCACACTCACCACACCTCTGGAATTCAGCTCTTTTGTCCATGTTTGAACCAAGGCTGTAATGAGGTCAGGAGCTGAGTGACCCTGGCGGAACCCAAACTGGGTGTCACTGAGCAGGTGCTGCTTGATAGCACTGTTAGCGACACCTTCCATCACTTTACTGATGATTGAGAGTAGACTGAGGTAATTGGTCGGGTTGGATTTGTCCTGCTTTTTGTGTACAGGATGTACTTGGGCAATTTTCCACATTGTCAGGTAGATACCAGAGTTGTAATTGTACTGGAACAGTTTGGTTAGGGGAGCGGCAAGTTCTGGAGCACAAGTCTTCAGTACTATTGCCAGAATGTTGTCAGGGCCCATAGCCTTTGCAGTATCCAGTGTCTCCAACCGTTTCTTGATATCACGTGGAGCCAATCAAATTGGCTGAAGACTGGTATCTGTAACGCTGGAGACCACTGGAGGGGGCCGAGATGGATCATCCACTCGGCCCTTCTGGCTGAAGATTGCTGCAACTGCTTCAGCCTTATCTTTTGGACTGATGTACTGGGCTCTTCCATCATTGAGGATGGGGATATTTGTGGAGCCTCCTCCTCTGGTGAGTTGTTTAATTGTCCACCACCATTCACAACTGGATTTGGCAGGACTGCAGAGCTTAGATCTGATCCATTGGTTGTGGGTTCACTTAACTCTGTCTATCACTTGCTACTTTTGCAGTTTGGCATGCAAGTAGTCCTGTTTGGTGGCTTCGCCAGGTTGATACCTTATCAGGTATGCCTGGTGCTGCTCCTGGCATGCCCTCCTGCACCCTCCATTGAACCAGGGTTGATGGTAATTGTTGAGTGGGGGGATATGCTGGGCCATGAGGTTACAGATTGTGCTAGAGTACAATTCTGCTGCTGTTGATGACCCTCAGTGCCTCATAGATGCCCAGTCTTGAGTTGCTAGATCTATGCGAAGTCTGTCCCATTTAGCACAGTGATAGTGCCACACAACAGGATAGGTGTTATTCCCAATGTGAAGGCAGGGCTTCATCTCCACAAGGACTGTGCGATGGTCACTCTTGCCAATACTGTCATAGACAGATGCAACTGCAGCTGGCAGATTAGTAAGGATGAGGTCAAGTATGTTGTTTCCCTCACCACCTGCTGCAGACCCAGTCTAGCACTATGTCCTTTAGGACCCAACCAGCTCGATCAGTAGTACTGCTGCTGAGCCACTCCTGGTGATGGACGTTGAAATCCCTGACCCAGAGTACATTTTGTGCCCTTGCCATTCTCAGTGCTTCCTCTAAGTTTTGCTCAACATTGAGGAGTACTGATTCATCAGCTGAGGGAGGACAGTATGTGGTAATCAGCAGGAGGTTTCCTTGCCCATGTTTAACCTGAAGCCATGAGACTTCATGGGTTCTGGAATCAATGTTGAGGACTCCTAGAGCAGCACCCTCCCCACTGTGCTGCCACCTCTGCTGGGTCTGTCCTGCTGGTGGGACAGGACATTTCCAGGCATGGTGATGGTGGTGTCTGGGACATTGTCTGTAAGGTATGATTCTGTGATTATGTCAGGCTGTTGCCTAACTAGTCTGTGAGATAACTCTCCCCATTTTGGCACTAACATTTTGGTGAGGAGGACTTTGCAGGGTCAACAGGGCTATTTCTGCCGGTGTCTTTTCTGGTGCCTAGGTCGATGCTAAGTGATCCGTCCAGTTTCATTTCTTTGACACTTTGTCATGATTTGTACAAATGAGTGGCTTGCTAGGCCATTTCAGAAGGCGATTGAGAGTCAACACATTGCTGTGGGTCTGGAGTCGCATGTCGGCCAAACCAGGTGAAAAATCCTGGTTCCCTTCCCTATGTTATTCCAAATATTTCTGTTCTAATTTCCCTGACAGTCCAGAAAACCTTGGTCTCACTCCCCTGATATCATGCAAGTTCCTGATCTCTCTCTGCGATGTCCTGAAAATTATTGTCTCACCTCCCCAGTACCCTTGAAAATCTTAATCTCACTCCTGGTGATACCTTGATGCATAGAGTTATAAGCCAAAGACTTGCATCAGTGGTTAGACCTACAACACAGCCTGTGAATTTTTTTTACTTGAGTTTTGAGGACATCTTTGGATTAATTTAGGATATCTGGTCAGCATGGATGAGTTGGACCGAAGGGTCTGTTTCTGTGCTGTAAAGCTCCATGACTCTATCTTGCCCAGATTGAAGGACACAGTCAGCCACAAAGTGGGCCATGAGTTTAGTGGTGAGCGCCAGAAACAGGGGCCATATGAGTCCAGGAGAGGGGTAATACCCGAAACGTTGACTTCTCCTCCTCCAGATGCTGCCTGGCTTGCTGTGTTTTTCCAGCCTCCAGTTTGTCTGCTATATGCTCTTTGTTAGCAGTGGCAGGAACACAATTGACGTCCAGCAGCTTTGTAATGTTATGGGTGTTTTTAGAAATATTTCAAAGTCCTTGCTTATGAGTTTTAACTTTTTTTAATGTAATGTAAGTAGATGTAATTAGAACTTGACGTAAAGAAAAATAATTATATAAATGGCAAAGTATATTTTACAATATTGTAACAGTGCTAGAATCAAAGAATCCTGACAGTGTGGAAACAGGCCATTTGGCCCATTGAATCCACACTGACCCTCCCAAAAGCATCCCACCTACCCCCCATTCTACCTCTGTAACCCTGCATTTCCCATGGCTAATCCACCTACCTGGCCCATCCCTGGACACCATGGGCAATTTAACACCGAACCTGCACATCTTTGGACTGTGGGAGGAAACCGGAGCACCCGGAGGAAACCCACGCAGACACGGAGAGAAGGTCACGTGAAGGTGGAATTGAATCTGGTCCCTGGTGCTGTGAGGCAGCAGTGCTAACCACTGAGCACAACAAGGAACAATTTTCATTTGTTTATTATGTTTTGAGCTTGAATAACTGTAGAGGATTTTTACAGAGAATATTGTCACTGTGCCATGTAAAGAAAAGGAGAATTAGGACAGATGACCTGATCAAAAATGAAGATTTAAGGAGCATTTAAAGTGAGGTAGAGTTTGGGCCAAATTTTTTTACCAAGGTAGCTTGAGTCGGAAATTTCACAAAGGAAGCAGTGTCATGGGTGTGGATCTGCTAGCTCTGGAATCACCAGCAACATGCTGATACCAAGTCAGGTTTGTTTGAAGGCAAACTCTGGGACTTCATTCTAGGTGAATTGACGTCTTGTAGGCACCCCCCCACCCCTGTCGTCATCTTCTCCCCTCCCCATGACTCTTTATGCCTTCCATGCCAACTCAGCACCACTTAATCCGCTCCTACTGAACCCTCCAGTCTTTTGTGGCAGCTGTCAGCCAATCAATGGAACTCCGTATCCTCCTTGCCACTGTGCCATGCTTCATTGACAGCCATGACTCCAAAGGATTTGCACTACAGGGATTCTATTTTGATTGAAAACTGTTGACTTTACCTGATTGAGATTATTTAAGATTTTCTCTAATCACTTTTGTCAATGTCTCACCGTTATTTGAGACTGAAGTGATGTGATGTATTTGAAACCTCTGCTATTGATACTTTAGTGCTATATCTGATTAACATTTTTATCAAGTTGTAGGATGAGCAGATTTCTCGAAGATGTGATGGCTTTCTATTCTGAATAGTCCTGTACATGCCATTGTTACTGTAGGAACCATTGGCTCTAAATATAGTGTGTGTTGGCTGAAGAGTTAGACTGAGTTAGCCAAAAGGGTGTGAGGGCCAAAGGCAAAGGGGGGGAATGAATTGCCATGAGGGTTTAAGGAACCATGAAGGTGAGAGAAATTATTTGGAAAAGCATGAACATAAGGGGAGTGGAAGGGACATGGAGGCAAGGGAAAGATGTTTTGAACTTGGTTTTCAAGAGATTCCCAAATCCATGCAATAGTTCATGACTTCCATTATGGTGGCAAACAGTGAATCATGAAGAAGCTGACCTGACTACACAAACATTTACAGGACGGCATGTGGCTCAGTGGCTAGCACTGCTGCCTGACAGCACCAGGGACCCGGGTTCAATTCTATCCTTGGGCGACTGTCTGTGTGGAGTTGGCACATTCTCCCTGAGTCTGTGTGGGTTTTCTCCGGGTGCTCCGGTTTCCTCCCAAAGTCCAAAGATTTGCAGGCTAGGTGGATTGGCCATGCTAAATTTCCCATGGTATTCAGGGATGTGTAGATTGGGTGGGTTATAGGGAAATGGGTCTGGGTGGGATGCTCTGAGTGTCGGTGTGGATTTGTTGCGCCAAAGGGCCTGTTTCCACGCTGTAGGGATTCTATGATCGTTGGTGGCAACAAGATGCCCACTCCTGCAATGGAATTTGCCAGAACCAGAATGCAGGGTATGGTGTCCCTCCCTTAGCGTGTGAAAATTGGACTTTGGAGATTCCAAAATCAAGTCATTTTAAAGAACTTCAGAGTTGTTCCAAGTCGAACTCTGAAAATCTGAATCCAGGTGTGTTATGGAGAGAATTCCAGAGCTTGAACATAGTCAACTGCAGATCAATGGTGGTGGAGTTAAAATTGTGATATTCTTAAAATCTCTTGAGAGCAACGTGAAATAGTGCAGGGGCTTGTGAGGCTCGAGGTGATCTCAGAACAGGAGAGGCAGGATCTTGGAGGGTTTTGAAAATGAAGTTGAAAATTTTAAATTTTAAGGCATTGCCATACTAGGAGCCAATGTAAGTTCAATGGGCACTTGGGTGGTGTTTAAACAGACTTGGCAGGAATTAGGAAATGGTGACAAAGAGTTTAAATTTCTGGATGATGATAGGACAGAGACCAGATGTTTGAGTTGCTATTATTTTAAAGCAATGTCTTTCTCATTGCAGGTTAAATGAAAACATGAATGTCTGTGTGGCTGACTTTGGGCTGTCCAAAAAAATTTACAACGGCGATTACTACCGACAAGGCCGGATCTCAAAAATGCCAGTGAAGTGGATTGCAATTGAAAGTCTAGCAGACAGAGTTTACACAGCCAAAAGTGATGTAGTAAGTAATCTGCATTCTGAAATCCTGCCAAAGGTCTGAGGACTATGTAATTTAAAGTGAAGTACAGGTTTTTCATCCTTTACTGTTAAAGAAGTATTGGTAATACACTGTGCTTTGCAGATGGTGTACTTTGTAGCCATGGTGACTGCTTCCGATGATTGAGTACAGTGAAGGCTCCCAACAGTTTAGAAAATGGGAAATATAGCATCTTTATTCAAGGAGAGCGGCAGGAAGCAATTGGTCTGTTAGCCTGATATCTTTCATAGCAAAGATGTTAGAGTCCATTATTAAGAAGGTTATGGTAGACACTTAGAAAATCAAGATGTGATCAAACAGGGCTAATTTGCAATGTGAAAGTGAAGTCATGTTTAACTAATCCATTGAAGTTTTTTTTCTTAAAGTAACATGCACAGTAGATAAAGGGGAATTGGTAGATGTAGTTTGTTTGGATTTCCAAAAGGCATTTGATGAGGTATCACATCATAAGTTAACTGCACAGGATAAGAAGCAGTTCTGAGGAAGGATCACTGGACCTGAAGCACTAACTTTGATTTCTCTTCACAGATGCTGCCAGACTTGCTGAGCTTTGCCAGCAATTTGTTTTTGTACAAGAAGCAGCACACTGTGTAGGGAGTTACATATTAGTGTGGGGAAAGCATTGCTTAGCTAACAAGAATTAGTGTGGTGAATGGCAAACTGTGTAAAAATCCCCTTAGTTGGTTTAAAGGTTCTGACCCAGTTATCAATGGCATACATAACTTTGCCATTTCAATTAATGACTTACACATTTACTAAACTACCAAGTGATAGTACGTACCTGCAAAGACACTAATTGGTAGAAATCTGGCAAATACTGATCTTTCTCAGATGGTCGATCCTGGTGCATCGTCAGTTCAAGCGACTAAACCACTGAATCTGGTTACACCCCTGACTTGTTCTTGAAGCCTTGCTTTGTACTTTTCCCATGTTATGACTGTGTGTTATATTAGGTAATGCCTGGATCTGGGCTTTTCAATTCACTTTAATTACATTTCTATTCTGTCTGTCTGGTCTCTTTTTTTGCTAGGTACTGCTTGAAGAACTCAAGTGGCAGTCTGGAGTGTTACCTCAAATCTCTAGTGCTACAGTAATAAGGCATATTTATGGTCATAGAAACAAGACAGTGCAGTTCCCTAACCACTCCAATGCAGTGTACAGACTTTTAGGGAAAAAGCTGTTTGATCAATATATTCCCATCTGCTTTCCTCCTCTTGTCCATAAGAGAACCAATTGCATTTGTGGTGCCCATTTCAGCATAATGAGACAAACCTAGCACAGAGGATTCCACTACAAGACGTTTTATTTATTAGGAAAGAAATAAAAACACAGTTGCATGATTTAGAGTGACTGATAAGAGCAAACTTTTGTGCGTGTGTGTGTGTGTGTGTGGTTACATACCACAGAGAGCAGTGCGCGAGGTCAACTGTTTAAAATCTGTGAATGAGTCAGATGAAGGGAGCGAATATGTGGTAGATAAAGCCGCCTGTAACACTACAGTATGTAGGCAAATAAGTTATGAAGAGATGGTAGGTACTCTGCAGATGAATATAGATAGGTAAAGTGAGTGGGCGGAAATTTGGCAGATGGAGCATAATGTAGAAAAATGTGAACTTGTCCACTTTGGCAGGAAATAGCAATTAGAGAAACGGTATGCTATTTAAATAGAGAGGAATTGCAGAACTTTGTGATACAGAGGGATCTTGGTGCATGAATCACAAAATTAGTGTACAGGTACAGTAAATGATTAAGAAGGCAAATAGAATGTTGGAGCTTTTCCTGTATTTATCCAGGGCATTGGTGAGACCTTATCTGGAATATCATGAGTCGTTTTCATAGCATCACAGAGTCATTCAGTACTGAAGAGGCCTTTTGATCCATCAAATCTGTACTGCCAAAGCTCCACTAGTCACATTAATCCTGCTTTCCAGCACTAGGTTTAGAGCCTTGAATGTTATGACATTTTAAGTGCTCATCCAAGTTACCCTTCTCAACTACCCAGAATATGCTGAGTAAGCGATGGGCAAGACTTAGTCCAGAGAGCCGGATAACATTCCCGCTATGGCAGATGGTGGAATTTGAATTCAATGAATATCTGGAATTAAGATTGTAATGATGTCCATGAATCCATTGTCGATTGTCGGGAAAAACCCATCTGGTTCACTAATGTCCTTTAGGGAAGGAAACTGCCATCCTTGCCTGGTCTGGCCTACATGTGACTCCAGACCCACAGCAATGTGGTTGACTCTTAACTGCCTGCTGGGCAATTAGGGATGGGCAATGAATGCTGCCTAGCCAGCGACACCCTCATCCCGTGAATGAATAAAAAAAGTGCTGACATTGGAGGGGGTCCAGAGGAGATTTACAAGAATGATCTCGGGGATGAAGGGCATTTCATATGAAGTGTGATTTGAGGACTCTGGGTCTGTACTTGGAGTTTCAAACAATGAGGGGGAATCTCATTGAAACTTAGAGTGAGTGGACATGGAGAAGTTTTTTTTCCATTAGTTGGAGAGACTAGAAGGTGAGGCACAACCTCAGAGCCCTTTAGAACTGAGATGAGGAATTTCTTCAGCCAGAGGATGGTGAATCTGTGGAACTCATTGCAGAAGGCTGTGGAGGCCAAGTCAGTGAGTGCATTTAAGACAGAGATAGGTTCTTGATTAGTAAAGGGATCAAGGGTTGTTGGGAGAAGGCAGGAGAATGGGATTGAGAAACATATCAGGCATGATCAAATATTGGAAAAGACTCAATTATTCTGTGGTGTAGATCTCTGACTCCATGCCCTTCAAATAAGAAAGCAGCTGCTTTCTATTCACCCTGCCCATGCCCTTCATTATCTTATACATCTCAGTCAGGACCCTCTCAGCCTGCTCCGTTCCAAAGAAAACAACCCAAGCTTCTCTTCCTCAGCAAAGTGCTCAATCCCAGAAAACTTCCTGGTGCATTTATTTCCTCTGCACCCCCTCCAGTGCGGTCAAATTCTTACAATAGTGTCGTGACCAGAACTGCACACAGTACTCCAACTGTGGCCTAACCAAAGTCCTGTGCAACTCCAATACAACGTCCTTGCTCTTATAATCTATGCCTTCACCAACAAAGACAAGTGTCCTGTATGCCTCCTTAACTAATGTATTAACCTGCCTTGCTACCATCCGGTCTCTGAGGACATGCATCTCTCTGTTCCTCCGATCTTTCTAGTCTTGCCTTCTTATTTCTTCCAAAGTGCACCCCTCACATTTATCAAGGTTAAATTCTATCTGACCTGTTTGACTAATCCATCTACGTCCTCCAATAATCTGAGACCTTCTTTCTTACTATCAACCACCCAGCCAATCTTCATGTCACCCGCATTCTCACCTACATCTTTTGTATCTAATAGGGGGCCCAGCACTGATTCAATGGTATACCACTGGACACTGGCCTCCAATCACACAAACAGCCTTCTTATTTGAAAAAAAAATTGCTTTAGAAGCAGTTCAAAGAAGGTCATTCTCTGAAAAAAATATCTTGAAAGGACTGGGTAGAGTAGATACCAGGAGAATGTTTGTTTCCTTTAGCTAGGGAAACTGAAGTTAGTTGAAGAAAGAGCAATCTCTTTTATGTTAGTAATGAGGAGAATATTTCTCTCTGGGTGTTGAAGGTAGTGAAGATTGGGGCTTAAGGGCTAAGCTAGATACATTTTTAATAGCCAAGGGAATCAAAGGTTATGGGTACAGTACAAAATGGAGTTGAGGCTACCACCAGATCAGCCACGGTTGTGCTTCATGGCACAGCGGGCTAAAAGGGCCAAATGGCCTTCTCCAGTTCCTAGGTCCTTTGGTCTAATGTAATGAAGGCATTTCAAAATATGAGATTCAAAAGAGTCAATGAAGTCCATGAACTGGCTCACGATTGTACTCCAGACAACTGTCCTTCACCTCATGTTACCCAACTCGTGTATATCTGTTTTGCAACATTCCCAACACAGACACTTATTACCAATTATACCGTCAGTTTTCTGAGAGTTGTCTCAGTTTTTGAAGGGCTGTTGAATTGCAGTGAAGTTGATATTCTTATGGGGGTGTGGTATGGGTGAAGTTCTGAGCTGGTTGCTATCATAGTATAATTTGTTCTTTTCCCTGCTTCCAGTGGTCCTATGGTGTCACCATGTGGGAAATTGCAACCCGTGGGCAAACTCCTTATCCAGGTGTGGAAAACAGCGAGATCTATGACTATCTCCGACAAGGCAATAGACTCAAGCAGCCCCCAGACTGTCTGGATGCATTGTAAGGAATTTCTTTATGAATATGTTATTGATGAAACAGTATTTTTCCTAAGTTGAGCCTTTCTGCAGCCTTTTTCAATGGGCATTTGCCTAAATTAACTGAATAAGTAGCATTTTCAATTTCATTTTATTTTTTTCTGGAATATTCCCAAAGAGTTGAAGGTTTCCTAAAGGTTTTAGTAGTTTGTTCACTGGATTAACTTTTTCCGACAAAGTGAAATGTTTTATGGAATGATCGAATCATACAAAACAGAAGACATACTTCTGCCCATATTTCTGTACTGCCAAAACTAAAGTAAATCCACACTAAATCCCCCATCCAGCACTTGGGCCAAAGCCTTGAATATTATGAAATTTCAAGCGCTCATTTAAGCACTTTTTAAAGATTACCTGTCTTGCTACACTTTCAGACAATGCATTAGTCTAGGTGAAAATATTTTCCTTCAATCTCCTCTAAAACTGCTGCCTTTCACCTTAATTTTAAATGCATCAATCAGATCTTCCCAGATCAAGAATGAGAGGCATAGATAGGGTAGATGTGAGAATTTTTTCACCATGGCAGATGTGTCGAAGACCAGAGGACATAACTTTAAGGTGAGGAGTAAGTGGTTTAGAGGGGATCTCCAGAACATTTTTTCACCCAGTGGCCATAGAAATACGGAATGCGCTGCTTGAGAGGGTGGTAGAGGCAGGTACTCTCAACATTTAAGAAGCTTCTGGACGAGCACTGACAATGCCAGGGCATATTAGGCTACAGACCACGTGCAGATAAATGTAGTATAGGTTTATTGGTCAGCATAGACAGTGGGCCTGTTTCAATGCTTTATGACTCCAAGTGCACAGATTTAAGGTGAATGGCAAAAGAAGCATCGGAGACACAAGAAGTAGCTTTTACGTGCAGAGAGTGATTGGGATCTGGAATGTGCTGCCTAAGAATGTTATGGAAGTAGCTTTAATTGAGGCATTCAAGAGAAAATGGGTTTATTATCTGAAAAGAATAATGTCATCCCATGAATTTTCATCCAAAAGCAGGGTTAGTGACCAAAAACTGAAGACATGAACTTGATCCCATTTGTTCCTGTCTCATTGAGTGCCGATTGTCACAGTCCACCCATCAATGACTCTCCCGTTCAACCAGACTGCAGGGGAAAGTGATATTGCCAAGACTGCAAAGTATAATACACCAGATAGGGAATATAATGAAGTTACATGTCTAGTGCTTTGGATACAGATTAAGAAGTTTGATTTTTCTAATATTGTCTCAAATAGGTCAAGAAAATTTCTCATTGTAACGGTTAGCGCTTGGAATGTTCTTCTAAAAATGGGTGGTAAGAGTGAAATTTATTAAAACACTCAGAATGGAAAAAAGAAATTGAGAAAAAGAAACTTCAAAAGCATGTAATAATGCCATTAAGCGGCCATTCTTTTGGGGACAACAGATCAAAAACCTTTATCTCTGCTGTTAAATGATTTGATTGTACTGTTAATTTGTAAGGAAGTTTAATGCACAAAGAGACCCTTCAAGTTCTTCCAAACCCTTTTTGCCAGGTATGAGCTGATGTACTATTGCTGGCAACTGAACCCAAGAGAGCGGCCGACTTTTGAGATCATCTGCTGTCAACTGGAGAAGATTGTGGAAGACCTGCCACCGTCTTCAGACCCAGAAGAGATTCTTTACGTCAACATGGAAGATGCTTGTGGGAGGTCAGACAGTTGCTGTGAACAGGGAGCAGTTGGAGGCAGTGATCTTGAGGAGTGTTTGAAGGCGTCATGCTCACAGTTTTCCAAGGCACCTGTGGTAACATCAGTAGATGTCCACCAGTCAAATGCAGTCGATCGCTATGTGTTGTGTCCACCTCATGAGACTACCCGATCAATGGCAATGGCACCCTTAAGTAGCAATTCGCCTCCATGTTTAGCGGCGGAGGACTCCGCCCTGGAAGAAATGTGTGGGAGCGAGTGTAAATGAGAGTTGTCTGTGTTACTTGCCACTTCATATTTCCAGGAACCTTGCCTCAAATCACTCAAGTGATCTCCAAGTAAAGACACTGACTGCGTGCTATTGTTAAAAGAATGTATAATGTCACTTTGACCACGATAACATCAGAACAGTCCTGCAGTCAAGCCAAGTTGGCAATTGGAAAAGTGCAAACAACCAACCAATTTAACCTTAATCCCTCATGCCAATCTCTTGCATGTCATGAACTTCAGGACTTCTCTTGCTTCCCTTCTGTCAGACACTTTTCTTCCCTTTATCTAGCAGAGTTGGAGGGATACAGTGTCTAAATATCATATCACAGTGGCCTCAATCCAAAAGCACTTGGGGCTGATATCAAATATATATTGATGCTTTAATCATGTTTGATCATGGCTGTCATTGATCTGAGATGTATATGCTGAGAAGTGTACTCTTGAATCCAGCTTCCCAGTGAAAAACAAAGTAATGCAGGTGAAAGGCCAAAGGTCGCCAGTTCAGGGGATACGGGTTGCAATGAAGTTACATGATCTCTGAAACATGTGTTTAACTCCACTGTATCTATGACAATAGCAGAGGGAGTCTGAAATATTTGTGGATTATACAGGAAAACTTGTCGGTTTAAAAAAAATAGGTAAGTTCACTTCCAGAATTTAACATGTAAATTTTTTTTTTAAATAAAAAGAAAATGGCAGGGATATGATTAGAACTTTTTTCAAATTCATTCATGGGATGAGGGCATTGCTGGCTAGGCCAGCTTTATTTTCTATCCCTAACTGCCCAGAGGACAGTTAAGTCAACCACATTGCAGCAGGTCTGGAGTCACATGTAGGCCAAATGAGGTAAGAATGGCAGTTTCCTTCCCCAAAGGTCATTAATGAGCCAGATGGGTTGTTTCCAACAATCTACAATGTATTTATGGTTGTTATTAGACTCCTAATTCCAGATTTTCTTATTGAATCCAAATTCCAACATCTGTGGCAGGATTCAGACCCTGGTCCCCAGGTAATGCGCATTAACTGGATCTCTGGATTAACAGTCCAGCGATAATACCACTAGACCATTGCCTCCATTGTGTCGACATTTATCTGATTTGAGCACACTAAATGTAAAATTAAATTACATTTCAACACCCTCTACCTAGCCAGTTTGTTACTATCTCTAGTTGAATTGAAGTAAACACAAAATATATGATTGCTCCTCAATTTACCACAGAGCAAGTCAAATGCACCAATGAGCTAATTAAGCTTATCACTGACCTGATTCCACCTGCTGTTTTAAATACATTGCAAATCTAAATACAGCTGTCCCCTTTGTATTATTGGATCATGTGTAAACAGGGCCATTATCTTTTGTAGGATGTACTTTCTCAGTCATCAAAAAGAATCATTAGACATTGCTTAGTGATAAACAACATAATGAGTATGTGATGTGGGTCAGCATTTTGCATCATATTCTGGGACCAACAAGTTTTGAGTAGACACAGATCCTGAGCCCTGTCATCCAGCATAAGTGTCAGAGCTAAAATTGGTCCACTAGCTCTTTTGTTACCAGGACTAAATTCCAGGAACAATAAACCGATGCCAAAAATCATTTTGGACTTCTCTTGGCCTATATAATAGGTTAGTAAATGTGTGCTGAATTGTGGCTTTTTATTATGACTTTTGAGTGGATATTTCTTCAATATTAGTTAGCTTTCTGCACCTTTGCAATCTTACATATTATCTTGGTTTGAGAAGGTGTGTACATTTTATTGGTGAGTGATCAATATTATGGTCTGGATGCCAAACTGACTTTGTAATGTAGCAGCAGAAAGGTTGGAAGCTTTGTTTTCATGGGACTATCATGTAATTAAGATACAATCACCCGGGAGTGCTTGTCAAGTTCTGATTTTCAAGATCCATCTCAGGGATTACAGTGAAGCAGAAGCAATGAATAAGTTTTTGTCAACCAATGACAGCTTGTTTCAGTGTGAAGAATTGACTGAGCCATCCAGTCCAGGTTTGCAAGGGTGAAGAACCTTGATCTATTTGTCTTAACAAGCATAGCATATTTGAAATGTATTGTTTACAGCATTTGATGGAACATTAATTTCTAAATGGACCTCAATCCAATGTACAACCTCTGGCAACTTCTAATCTGAGTTGTAAATTGTACAACAGCTATCATTATAGGCAGTTGTGGTACAGGACTAGAGCACCTTGTTTCAGCCACTAAATTGTATGTCAAGCTAGTGCTGCACTGAAAGATTTGTGATGCTTATGATAGTACCCCAGGAGGACTACACATCAAAGGCTAAACTTTTGTGCTTAAATTTATCATTTTACCATTTACTCCTTTTATAAAGCCTTGGTCTCTGCACTAAGTGTTTAGAGTGTCATCGATTTGACTGCACAGAGACAATTTGTTAAAGTTAAAGATAGCACCTTCTTAGTGTAATATACAAAAGAGGTCCACAATGATCGACAATGGGAGTCATTCATCATTCATAATGCTTTGCATTCAATTTAGGTTAGACCTTCAGGCCCTTTTGTGAATTGAGCAATTAATCTCCAGGATTATTTCTAGTCTCAGCTGAACTGACTGTGCCAATATTATCTGCTACTCATTGATATGTTGAAAACATCTTCACCTTCATTGTAAATCAACCTAAAATAAATTGTCTTGTTAACGGTTGTGTAAAAATCCCAAGATTAATTGCCATGGTTAGCCCTAATGAGAATCCTATTTGACTTCAAATATCGCCACTGCCACCCCCTTGGAAGTTTCCAGGTTATGGATCCAGAATGAACAGTGACTGATCCCTATTTCCATGTTGATCAGCATGTTCAAGACTGTGTTCATAGTATTAAGCAGGTAACTAATGAATCTGGTAATTTTTACACTGTTGTCAGAAACAGTAATGAGCATGGAGGCTGGCAGAAATTGAGGTAAAAATTCAAAAGATTCACTGATAGCCCTCCGGGAAGTGAAACCCCCTCTCGTCCCAAGAATGGGCATATGTGAAGTGCATCACAACTTGTCTAAACAAGTGACTGAAATGCTAGACCTGAAATGTCAGCTTTCCTGCTCCTCTGATGCTGCTTGGCCTGCTGTGTTCATCCAGCTCTACACCTTGTTATCTCAGATTCTCCAGCATCGGCAGTTCCTACTATCTCTGATTGAAATGCTTGCACATTTGTAAAAAGAAGATCCTAACCTGGAATCCTAATCTTGTACTAATTTAACCTATCACATTAACAAGATGATTTGCCATGGCAATTCATTAGAGTTTATAAAGTTGAAGATGTTTTGTTGGTTTTTTTTTACCCTTTGTATTCCATAATTCATTTGAAGCAAAGTATTCTTGAGCAGCTAGAACAGAGTCAACTCTCTTGCAGCCCTCTGGGGAGCATTTCAGAACACTAGTCATTTTTAGCCTGAGAGTGTTGATTAATTAAAATGAATTATTTGAAATATAAAGGCTGACATTCAGGTGCCAACTGTGGCTGCGTGTATTCCTGGCATCTTTATCCCATCACTTTATCCTTTCATCAGATCTACCCTCTCATAACTTCTATTGATCACCCAAAATGTCTGACATTCTCAGGCCACTGGAAAGCAATCAGACTCTTCATATTTCATTGAAATATTCTTGACTGCAATTAAGTGAGCTTTCATTTTTTATCACTATGATCTGAAGTATTGAATGCTTTTATTTTTCTTGCTGCAATATCTTGTCTTCTCTAACCTTCCAGACATGATATCCTTAATCTTCAAATCTGGAGATTCCAAGCCAATCCGAGAGGGTTGGCAGCTGATGAATTCCAATTTCCGGATATGTAGAGAAAGCTGAATGGGAGAGAATTTCCTCCTTAATTCTTCAGTGTCAGGAGCTAAAGTTCACAAGAGATGGGTTTTTTTCAAACAGCTTCTAATTTGGTGGTCCTGAGAGTTGTTGTATTGGATGCAAATGTTCATTTTGACGCATGATAGGTGCAAAAAGACAGACAATAATTAACACAGCTTTGCTGGCACTCTCACAGCAAGTAGAAATTAAAATTCTCTATGAACCATAATTGTTTCTACACAGTGAAATTGAGATTTGGGTTCAACATGCCCATAATAGTTCACTGAATAAAATTCATCTACTTTACAGTGATTTTGTGATCCATAATTTGTTTTAGCTATTGCCTGTAAAGAAAAACTGCCTGCTATAGGTTGCAACTCGAGTCATCTTAAAATAAGTGTAAATCTGTGAATCTTTAATAAGTGCATTGACTTTGAGTACACAATGCAGGAAAAAAAGCCTATTTGGTCAAAATAGTCCACATTGATCAAAATAGTCCACATTGATCATGCTCCATTTAAGTCTCTTTATAGTCTTCATTTATCCAACACCATGAACATATTATTCCTTTTTCCCCCTCATTTGTTTACCAAGTTTCACTTTAAATACATCAATTCTATTCACCTGCACCTGTAGTGACACATTCTATTTTTTATATGCCAGACTTTCTTTGGAAATGTGATAAGGATATGCAGTCCACAGGGGTTTGTCCGCTTGAAGTTTGAGATAGCCCTCAGTTCAGTCTCTAACTCCCCTGTTGCTGAAAAGGACGTGGGTACTATGTTGCACTGAATTCGAGTTTAATTCCGCATTAAACGTGAGTTACAGCTGAGCTGGAAGTGCTTGAACGGAAAGCCCACTGTTTCTTATTCTAGGGTTAGCAAACTTCATGTTAAATTATTTTAGTTTTGGATTGAAGGACTTGTGGGCTTGCAGTTGAATGAGGACTGAGGTCGAAGCGCATTTTGACGAGTAAATCGTTTCTGGCAGTTTTGAGGAATTTTTTTTTAAAATTCCCACTTTCTAATATTAGTAACGCAGAAATTCCTGCTTTCGACAACCCACATCGCTGAATATTTTAGGCTGGCAATGTTCAGCGGGTCACGCTAAATGCTTCAGCATTAATTTCATGTTTCACTTTGTACTTCCTAAGTAACATCTCATTAAGGCACCAGGCTGCGCGGAATCTTCGGGCCATTTCCTAGGAATTTTGTGCCTTTGTTTGACACTTTTCTCACTTCCCCTTTTCATGACAGAATTGGTCTTCACGAAGCTCGATTTTCTTCTGTGTGTAAATCCTTAGCGTTAGGGAGCATGAGCGGTGGATTTATAAAGTTTCGGGAAACTGGTTCCAAACTGAATCCACACACTGTTCCTCAACCGTACACAGCATAACCCAGCTGGTTGTTAAAATCCTTTTCATGTATGACGTTTTACGGGAGGTCCCTTTTCTTACATAAGTTTTGCAAAGATTTTCTTTTAAATATCAATGTATATACTTTGATACAAACAGTAATTAATCCCAGCCCCTTCTTGTTGCACATGCTGATATGTAGCTGAGTTGCTTTTTTTTAATGAAATAAATCTTGTTTTATTGCGTTCTGATGTGTAAATATCGTTGGAATTGAAAAGGCACAAAGTGTAATTCAAATTACTGGCCGCGAGGCGGCCACTCAGTCGAATGTTAAGTTCCCTGCCCTGAAAACTTTTCACTGCACTCATTTAAGTACGTAACAATAAAGCTAATTCAATTCATTCAAGAAAAATCTCCATTTTTCCCTGCACGTTCACCCTTTTCCAGCTCTTAATCTAATTTTCAGGCATTTATCTGGTTTACTTTTGAATGTTGCAACGCCCCCCCAACCCCTTTATAAGCGACACATTCTAGATCTTAATTTACGTTTA